CTGCCCAGGCTGGCTGTGAACCGAGATCCTCAGATCTCAGCCTCCTAAGTAGCTAGGATTACAGACATGAGCCACCGACACCAGACTACATTTTTCTTTTTATAGAAGATAATTTAACTCTAATAATGAATGATGCTGACAATTTTATTTTAAAACCGCAATTTTACAATCCTTACTTAACAGGGAAATGGTTTTAGAGTTAAAAGGACCTGGATTTGAATCTTGATTGCCACTTGCTATGTACCAATGAACAAAAATTCTTAATCCATTTCTCTTTATGTAAACTACCTTGCAGGATGGTAGCAATGTTAGTTATCTCATAGACAGCTTTTCACATGTTAGTTGTTAATTAAATTGGAGTTATGGCAGTCACTGTTAAAATTAGCTATTACATTAGCCAGTATCTAATTAGTAACCCCTTCTAATTTTCCTTTTTTTTCAATTTTCCTTTAGTTGTTTCATATATAATATTTTTGCATGCAAAAGCATTTTGAGATATGCTGCACATGTATTATTACAATGTCTTTTTTATTTTATAACTGAACTGGGCTGTCCTAAGATGTAATAAAAAGAGGGGAATGGAAGGAAGACATTAATTAAACCACAATTCAACATTTACTGAACACCAGTCATGTGCCAGTAGATTATAAATACTCAAGTTCTGCCTACCAACATCCTGCTCGGTTATTTGTCCTGTAAACTCCTTTTAATTTTCCTGGTTCTCTTTTCAGTCTTTATAAGAAGAATTGACATCTAAACAATTCATACAGTTTGGTAGTTTTTCTGTGGTCTTTTTCAGCATAATGACTCTAAATTTTAATGTATTTGTTTCATATTCAGGTCAACATCTGGTATTTTGGTACCCACAAATAGCTCTCATGGTCTGGTGACCTTCCCAAGACCTCCTCCTCAATACACACACACACACACACACACACACACACTTTATGTCACACAATCAGCTGTCTGTCAACACATATCCATCTCCTAGCCTTGAAGGGATCCTACCATCTTAAGAAACAGGCTTGAAAGAATATTGAAGACCATCAGAAACATAATAATTCTTAACTTACTTGAGATTGTAAATTTTGCAAACCCAAGGAAAACTGCCTCCCTTCACATGTACTCTAGACAGATGGATAGATACACACATATGCATAAGCAAGTAACATATAACATTGCATTTCACAGACTCCTTCACAATAAAATTAACAAGCTATGATTTATTTCAGTGTTGACTAGGACTCATAGTTAATAGGTCTGGTATCAAAATGTCACTTTCATTAAATATACAAGTATAGGCAACAACTTCCTGAACATGTCTCCAATAACTCAGGAAATAAAAGCAAGAATTAACAAATGGTATTTTATCAAATTAACCTTGGCACAGCAAAAGAATCAATTAACAGAGTGAAGCCACAGACTAAATAAAAAATGGGAGAAAATCTTTGCCAGCTATGCATTTGATGGGGAATTAATATACAGACTATAAAGAGCTCAAAAAACTATGACCAAATAGCAAAATAATCTAGTTAATAAATGAGAAAACATTAAACAGCAATACAAATGGTCAATAAATACTTTGTAAATGTCCAACATCTGTGGTCATCATGGAAATGAAATCAAAAGGACATTGAGATTCCATCTCACCACTGTAAGATTGGTTGTTGCCAAGAAAATAATCAGCCAGGTGCCAGTGTTTCATGACAATAATTCTCATTACTCAAGAGGCTGAGATCTGAGGATCACAATTCAAAGCCAGCCTGGGCAGGAAAAGTCCAAGAGACTCTTATCTCCAATTAACCAAAAAAGCCAGAAGCAGAGCTGTGGCTCAAGTGGTTGAGTACTAGCCTTGTTCAAAAAAGCTTAGGGACAGCACTCAGGCCCCAAGTTCAAGCCCCAGTAACAATAAAATTTAAAAAAAAGAAAGAAAGGAAACCATCCATGAGAATTGCTGATGAGGATGAGGGAAAGCAGGAACCCTTATACAATGTTGCTGAGAATATAAATTAGTGCACTCATAATGGAAAGTACTATGGAGCTTCCCAAGTATCAAGTGCCATGACACACACCTGGAATCCAACTATGTAAAAATTGGAGCTAGGGAAGATCTTGGTCTCTGGTCTGCCCTAGACAAAAGTACAAGACCCTACCTGAAAAAATCAACTAATACATAAAGGGCTGGAGTGTATAACTCAAAGGGTAGAGGACTTGTCTAGCATAAGGCCCAGAGTTAAGCCTTTAGTACTGCCAAAAACACAAAATAAAGTGATAATCCAGCTCTACCACTTCTCAGTCTATTCAAAGGAATCAAAGATAGCTCACACCCATGCTTACTGTGAGACTATTCACAATAGACAAGATATAAAATCAGTTTAGGTCCCCTGAGCCAATAAAGAAAATGTCATAAAATACACACTGGAGCTTCTCAGCCACGAAGGAGAACAAAATTACGGCATTTGCAAGAAAATGGATGGAGCTGGAGAGTATCACATTAAGGGAAATAAGCCAGACTCAGAAAGACAAACATCATAGGTGGAATCTAGACCAAAATGAAAGGACATGAACGTAGAAGGGGACTATTTGGAAAGAGGAAGGAGGAGGCAGAGAGAGGAATGAACAGGATCAAAGTACATAAAGTGTACATATAAGTGTGAATAACGTAACCCATTATTCTATACAATTAATACATGCTATTTTAATGTACCTTTCCAATGTGCATACATAAACATGAATACATAGAACTTTCAAGAAACAAGTTACCCTTACCATGTACAATGGTTTCTGACATTTTCTAGTCTGTTCCATATGAAATGTTACTTAAGGCTCATCAAGTTGTATTCCCACCTCCCACAATATGAAAAACCATAATGTAATCTACCATCTCTCTACTTCAGAGATAAACAAACTGAGAGTCACAGAAATAAGAGGCCTTGTCACAGACCACTAATAGTGATGGCTGAACAACCCAGAACCTGATTCTCCTGAACCCCAGCCCAAAGCTCTTTCCAATACAAAGTGAAACAAAAAAATTTAGATGCCAGTGCTTTATAAAAAGGGTTGAGGATCCGCAGTTTCCAGCATGTTGATTTACCCTGAGAAAGACACTGTTTCCATTCTGAACAATAATGAACACTGACCTCATCCTAAGCTTCCAATTCGGGAAGCTTCAATGTTTTCTAAATCACATCCCTGGCCTAGCATGACTTGGCAAATAAGCAAATTCTTCTCTTTCCATTAACTCTTCCTCCAGACACTGCAAACAACACGGAAGAAGCCAACCTTCTCCTCAGAACCGATTTTAAATACTTTGATTACAAACAGAGGTAGTATTTGTCCATGAGAGATTGGCTTAGAAACAGAGTAAACAGATCCTGGGTGCTCCTTATTGCTGTTTTCAGCCCCACCAAGACTGCTTAATTAAAATTTAAACGTCAAAACCACACAGAGATCAATAAATGGATGCGAATGATCGACAGCCTCTGCGATGCTACCCGCTCCGCTCCAGCACCGCCGCCCCCAGCGCTTTTAAAGCCTCAGTTATAGAAATGGGATTGCTTAAGAGAGTTTGATAGCTTAAAACGCCAGTGTCCCCCATTGCATCAGATTGGGTGCAGGCTACCCCCCCTCCTTCTTTTTCTTGTATCTCATCGATATATAAATACCTATAACCCATCACGACACAGAAATCTTTTAACCAGCCAGCTTGTAGCCAACTCCTAGGGACTTGAAGGCCAAACCCCACCACCCATCGCCACAGAAAGGTTTAGGCCCTGTGTGGTTGGCACCCATCGTGCAGACCACCTAACAGGAACGCGGGAGAGTGCGGGGTGCGGCGGAAGAGGGGGGTGCACCGTGGGAGCTGCCCCGGGCGCCCTGACCAGCCCTTTGCCTGCATTCCCACAATCCTCCAAAGCCCAAGGGCAAAGAGCTGGCGCCCCCTTAAAGCAGAAGAAGCCTAGAAGAGGGTGCGGCGCCACGCAGTTCAGGGACTGGCGAACCCTAAAATTAGCGCTCAGCAAGCAGGGGCCGCGCACCACCACCGCGAGGAGATGGCGGCCCGCTGCGCTGCGCCCTGCGCGCCAGCCACCCCTCGGCACCCCTCCCTCCCCTCCCCATCACCAATGCAGAGCAAGGAAACGGGGGGGGGGGCTGGAGGGGCGGGATTGGACTCGGGACCACAGGTGGCCTTTTAAGATTCCCTCAGGGGTCCAATGCCCATTACCCCCCCCTCCCCATCTGCGCCAGAAATGTTAAATTTTGGAGAAATTAAACCCCCAGAATCCTCTAGAATCCATGCTGTCGGACTTAAAATTTGGATGGTTCATTTTCATTCCCTTCCTGAGTTCTCACTTAAATGATTTTTTTCTCCTCGCGCATCTCTCCCGACAGAACTAGTGTGGGTGGGTGGGTTTGATCCCCTTGGGAGGGTGAAGGGGAAGGGGGGAGGGGAGGAAGGAGGAGAGCCGAGAGACTTTACGTTCCAATATCCCTCTGCCAGATAAACAGTTCTGAAGGTCAGTGTTCACTCCCCATTGAACAGTCCTGTAAAAGATTAATGCTCATTAAGAGACTCTCAGCCAGCGTTTCTCTTGAGAACACAAACTGTTTAAGACCCGAGTGTTTCACATACTCCAATAATACACTGGAAACCTACATTTTAATGATGAACTACTGTCATCCCCCCCCCTTCAAAATGATCAAAAGCTGTTAGAAGGAAACCTGTGAAATGGAAATAGACATCTCAGCCAAGATTAAATAAAGAATATAAAAATACGTTTAGTACTACCAAAAACTGAAAAATTGAATAACACAATATTTGGAAACCAGAAGCCAGTAACAATACATATATTATATAACTGTTTTGTGAATTTTTGAATAATATACGCACAGTAATTTTAAATCACCCATTAATGCAAATGAAACATGTCCGGGGTCCTTGGGATGACATTTCATCCCTAGCATCTTCTAGCCGCCGCCTCTCGCAGCCAGCCCCTTACCTTTATTTTCAGAATCTTTCATTCTCTGCTTCTTCCTTTTGCTGCAAATGAGCAGGAAAAGTCCAGTCGATTCTGTAACCCTGACTTCTGATTTGTCATTCACAGACAGTCAGCGGTCTCAGGGGCGAAGTCCCTCAACGCAGGAGCACCCAGGCTCTGATAATTGCATGCAACTCGGGTGTGCGGGTTATAATTTTGCTTATGCTAGAACGGAAAGGATGGAGATGAAGGCAGACGTAAACACAACCTCCAAAACATGGCATGGAATCGGATCTGGAGCCTCGGCTTGCCTTTCTACCCTTTGGGTAAGGAACAGACTGTATAGCGCCTCCTTGCCTCTGGAAAAATGTGGTTCAAGTGGAAAGGGGAATCTCTGTGCTAAGTGTCCTAGGCTTGTTTTCAAATGATAGCCCCAACTTTGCTGGAGATTCAGAGTGCTGTGCTTTGTTTCCCCATATATACATAAGTCTCTCATTGCTTTAATCATTCATTCAACAAAGGTTTCTTTTACTTCTGTGGCTAGGTAATGTGCTAAGAACTGGGAATACAACAATATGTAGGACCAGCTCCCAGTGTTCAAGCTACTCACATCTGTTACAATAGAAAAATGTTCAGTGCAGTACAATGACCTATGTCTGCTGCATGGACACAGGTTACTGAACTCACTTCACCCAGGTGTAAGTTGACACGTAAGAGGCTTTAATGATTGATTGTAAGGCAGAGAGTGGCTCAGCCAGGAATAGGTATGAGAAAGCCAGATCAGGAGACCCTTCTATTGGAGAGCAAGGAAGCATCAAGCAAATCTTTGAATCCTTACAGTCATGTTTACTTTATATTATTACACAGCTCAGATTCATTCATTCCTTCCTTCAGTCATTCATTCAACCAGTGGTTATTTGTGCAAAGCACAAATTAGGGTTTCAGAGTACAAAAACTAAGACCAAGTTTCTGTTCCTGTGCTATTACATTCCAGTCATACAGCAATTTTTAAAAATGAGCATATTAAAAAGGATAGCAATGCTGAAAAGGAAAATTAAACATGGTAATAAAATAAAAGATGTCATTTTAGATTAAAGTGGCCCTTAAATGGGTGACATTTAAATGGGGCAGGGTCAGCGCAGTCTTGCAAACACCTTCACTTAGAACCTGCTTCTTCTCCTCATTCAAAAGTGTTCCTTCCCCATTATATCCATTGAAAAGCTGATCATCAGAAAGATTCACTGTTCCAGTCCAGGATCTAAATAAATTAGGAGAAACAACAGCAAATATATCTACATTTAACTCTCATCCTCAGAAATTACTGTTGGAAAATATCCTGAACCAGGAGCAGAGAAAAGAGAGTTCAAGGGCCTCTCTACCACGTGGTAGCTGAGTGGTTTAGGGCAGATGACTTAACCTCTCTAACATCAGTTTCTCAGCTGTTAAATGGAGCTAATCCTACCTGCCCTGGATATGTGCCAGGCTGTTTAGAAGATCAAAGGGGAAAAGAGATGTGGTATTTGTAAACCAACTGCTCTATAAATGTAAGGTGTAATTACCAACTGACTGAGCACATTGAAGAGGACTAATTGCCAGTGTTTACTTGCTCATTGCTGTAGCCAGGAGTCACATATGGCCACTAGAGGTCTCTGAGTTGATTTCCAGATGCTAAAACCTGACAACTCCCTTAAAATTTGGACTTTTATTTTTTAAGGTATTTGGTATTGATTTCCATTTATCTTCTACTCTTCTTTAACAACTTACAACCAGTAAGGAATATAAGCTGCTATAGTTTGTATCTCAAATGTCTCCCAACAGCCCATGGGTTAAAGGCTCAATCCCCCAAGAAATGCTGTTTTGTTAAAGTGTTGGAAAGCTAAATAACACATATGCCTTCATTTCAACCTCCTACTAACTACATTAAACTAGCCATATCAAAGAAATCACATCAAAGAAATGGACATCTCTATCTCTAAGGCCTAAGTCCAAGAGAGCCAAAAGGTAACCAGTAGGAGCTCTTTGGGGGCTGAGAGAATAATGGAGTCATATACCCTTTCATTCAATAACATTCATTATGCCAAGTACTACTCTTAATGCTTTTAACAGTGAAGATGATGCCCTGCAGAACAAAACATTCTCTATCCTCAGGAACTTGTGGTTCCCAGCCAAAAGGTTTCCAAGACTTAGTAACCTGGGCAAAGGGACGCCAAGGCCAGGGGTTCAGTCATATAGGGTGGTGAAGTGGAAGAGAACAAATACAAATATGAGCTCTGCCATTTATTAGTCTATAGAGTAAGCTAGGACAAGTTTCTTCCCCTTTCTAAGTGCTGATAGTACTTATCTCCTATAGTTGGGTGAGGCTAAAATGAATAAAAACATGTAAAGTACATGGCACAAAGCCTAACACATAAAACAGTCTATAAATGCTGTAAGATTTTTATTATTGCCTATGACCTAGGTCAAGTTGAATCCTCCGAACTTTAGTTCCCTCATAAAATGTGGAAAACAAATAACTAATTTGTAGGATTCTTGTGATACTTATATATCAGGAACAATATAAAGCCCTTGGCATTAAGGAATAACCACCCACTGTTTTTAATCAAGCAAGCTACACCCCTGCCAGAGAGATATAGGGGTAGAGAGACTAAGGCTAGAAACTATAAGTAAATGGGTAATAAATGGAAAGCACAGTCAATTCTAGGACAACTGAAATTTTATCTAATATTTCTTTTTTGTATATGTGTATGCTTGTCCTGGGGCTTGAACTTGGGGTCTAGATTCGGTCCCTGGGCTTTTTTGGTCATAGCTAGCACTCCACCACTTGATCCATGCTTCACTTGCACCCTTTTGGTGATTAATTGGAGATAAGAATCTCCTGTAATCCTAGCTACTTAGGAGGCTGAGATCTGAGGATTGCGGTTCAAAGCCAGCCAGGGCAGGAAAGTCCACGAAATTCTTATCTCCAATAAACCACTCAGAAAGCTGGAAGTGGCGCTGTAGCTCAAGTGGTAGAGCACTAGCCTTGAGCTGAAGAGCTGAGGGACAGCCATCAGACCCAGAGTTCAAGCCCCATGACCAAAAAAAAAAAAAAGAGTCTCATAGACTTTCTTTCCCAGGCTGGCTTCAAATCACAATCCTCAGATTTCAGCCTACTGAGTAGCTAAGAGACAGCTTGTTTAAATAGGGATACAGGTGGAACCATTGCTCCAATGAGATGTACAAGATGTTATATTGAAATGAACTTTACAACTTTGGTGCAGGGAGTGGGGGAGGGGGAGGAGGAAGGCGGGGCTGGGGGGAGGATGGGATGGGAAGGGGAAACAAAGGAGGAGGCAACAATGCTTGATAAGAAATGCACTCATTACTTTGCCCATGTAATAGTAACACCTCTGTACAGTATTTAAAAATTTTTTAATTTAAAAAATTTTTTTAAAAATTTTAAAAAAAAGATAGGCTTGAGCCACCAGTGCTTAACTTCTAATGAAAAGTCAAGCATGCAAAAATCTAAAGAACTATAAAGTAAGTCCCGTATCTGTGCACTTTTATGTCAATCTCTTTATTTGTCCTTAATTGATTTCTTCCCCTGTCCTATACTCCTCTGAAATGGCATGTCTCATATTGCTCTCCAGACTGATCTCTGAAATTCTGGACTCAAGTGATTCGTTCACCTCAGCCTCCCATGTACTAAAATTACAGGTTCCTTATGTTTACATAAGCAAATAAAAAGTGGAGGTAGCCAGGCCCTGGTGGCTCATGCCTGAAATTCTAGCTACTCAGGAGGCTGAGATCTATGGATTGCAGTTCAAAGCCAACCTGGCCAGGAAAGTCTAGGAGACTCTTCTCTCCAATTAATCACAGAAAAAGCTGGCAGTAGAGCTGTGACTCAAATGGTAGAGAGCTAGCCTTGTGCAAAAAGGAGCTCAGGAACAGTGTCCAAGCCCAGAGATCGAGTCCCAGAAATAGGAAAAAATAAAGTGGAGGTATGGCTCAAGTGGTAGAGCACCAACGAAGGAAAAAGCCAAGCAGGATCACAAAGCCCTGAGTTCAAGCCACAGTACCAGAATAAATCTGCAAGAGCCTTTATAAAGAGCCTTTATTTTCCCTCTTGACACAACGTTTACCAAAGCTTTAGACTCCCTGATTTTTTGGCCCTTTCAAGCAGGGTCAGGTGAATCTCAAAAGTCTTATTCTGCAAACCTCAAGACCACACTTCATTGAGAGACAAAGACAGATTCAAGCTTTGGAGCATCCCACAATGAGACAGACCCCAAGCTTCAAATACATTGGTACCAAAGACCATTATAAACAACTATTAATAGGCATGATGCTCCGTTTCAATAACTGGATTTAGAGAACATTTCCAGACAAGCTCCACTGGCCATGAAGTCCTTCCACAGCTCTGCACAGTCCTTGTCTTGTTAGATGCCACTTCTGAGTCACTAGATTGGTGAGTCATGCCTAGCAAGCAAGGCCATCTTGCAAGCAAAACTGGAGAGAATCTTCAGGAAAATTTTATGAGGCAAGAACAACTGAAGGCAAATAGGCATTTGATTTGTTCTAGCAAAACAAAAATGAAAGATGTTTTAAAAAAATCGACTGCTGTAATAGTGAGGGTGAACTTACAAGCAGCCATTTTTTACTTCCAAAAAAAAAAAAAAAGATGAGCAAACAAAAAGCTTCTATATTCCTTTGGAACTTTGAAGGGGCTTTTATTCCTTGATTGGTGGATGGTTATATGTAAGCAGCAAGACTCAGAAGGTACTCCTTAGTGATGTACACTGACTGATCCCGATTACTTGGCTGGAGCCTCTTCTGCCTTAAGTCACTTGCTCCCCAAAAATGTAGCATGGGGTAAAACGAAGCGGCTTCCATTCCATCACCACATTGGGCCTTCCTCATCCTGACAAGCCTCTATTTGATTTACCATGAAAGAGGCAAGACAAAGATGGGGAGAGATTGGGGATAAAGCTGTATAATCAGGGGGCCAACTACAGAAAGGAGCCATATAGCTACCAGAAAAGCTGAATAAGCTCCCATGATGCCAAGCTACCAGGCCAGATGAAGATAATCTACCTGTGGAATATCTACCAATCCCCAGTCTCTTGTTAGAAGGAAGAAGGATGCTACTACAGAAGAGCTCATGGTTGGCCCGAAGATATAGATGCCTGGAAGCTATGATCCTTTACTGTGCCCATTGAATTTTCCAGACCCATATCTAACCATAT